TAATAATAGTGATGTGTGGTTCCTTCATCTTCATGGGTGGCTCTTATCATGATGGATGGCATCGCGAAGTAATTACAGCAATGGCCAGTGGTAGGAATAAGACCAAAGGTGCTTAGATGAGTCCAAGTAGCAATCTAGCAGTACCGGCAGTACGAAGAATCGGGGCTGCAATCATAGTCATAGCAAGAAACGATCGTGTTGCTCAACGACCTCGAGTTGCGCTCTTAGTTTCACAAGATGTCGTGGGAAACCGGTGAAAATGAGGGGTGCACTTCCTCCCAGGGATCCTCAAGCCCCGAAGCCCCAAACCCTAAAAGCACGGAGAGTTCCGCTCCAGGGCGCCTACCCATGCCGGCCCTGCAGGATATGAAGCATGCGCTGGAGGAGATTGACTTCACGCCAGACATGCCGGCGACTGAGTCTTCAGCCTTTGGTACCCTAATCCCTAAACCCTAGACCCTAAACCCTAAACCCTTGGTTTAGGGATAACTCGCGGGGGGGGGGGGGGGGGCTTCAGGTTCAGGGTACACGCTTTCCCACAAAACAGCAAAGAGTCAAAGAAACTTTCCCTGCGAGCTCCAAGCCCCCTAAGCTGGTCAACATATAGTGCGCAAAGGGTTTGACGTAGGGATTGGCTTTGCAGGGTTCGTGTCCCTCCTTCTTTCTCTCCCGTCCTGGCTCTTTTCCTTCCCTTGTCCCTCTTAATCGATCTGTTTGTCCTAGGCAGCTTCTTGCTAGGTTGCCTCTGGAATGTTTCTTCAAGCGTTGCGCAGCGGGATGAGGGGGAATACGAGGTGCCTAGTTCCGAAATTCCCTGCCAACTTCCCAACTCCTGCCCACCACACCAGCATCGAGGTGCTCGGAGGCGGAGACAGGCTGTTTCCTCCTTACGTTCTCCGCCTCTTGGCTAGCGGCCTCACTGAATGTGAGGCGCGGAGCGTCCGGGGCTGCCGGTTGCGGGTTTAGGGGTCGGAGCCTCAAGTTTGGAGTTCGGGCGGCTGTGGTTTAGGGTTTAGGGTTTAGGGTTTAGGGTTTAGGGTTTAGGGTTTAGGGTTGTTGAGGGGTTGGAGATCAGGGGCTTCAGGGTGCGGGTTGAATTCCTTGCTTCAGCGAATGTTGCTAGTATGCTTGGCCCGATCTTTCTTAGACCTTTGGAAGGCAGGCGCAGACCCCTTCACCCCCCCCGAAGCGCCCAACAGGTCCCGAGCTAACCTGAGAAACCTAAACCCTCAGCCGTCAACCCTCAACCCTCAACCCTCAACCCTCAACCCTCAACCCTCAACCCTCAACCCTCAACCCTCAACCCTAAACCCTAAAGCCCCCTTGGACCCAGCCCACACCGCGCGCCAGTTTGAGTGGCAGCCGCGACATCTTAAAGACCCAGGATCCAGACAAGCTGGTGCTGGCCTCAGGGTTTTAGGAGACCCCACCCCAAAACCCCAAAACCCCCAAAACCCCCAAAACCCCCAAAACCCCCAAAACCCCCAAAACCCCCAAAACCCCCAAAACCCCCAAAACCCCCAAAACCCAAAACCCCCAAAACCCCCAAAACCCCCAAAACCCCCAAAACCCCAAAACCCCAAAACCCCCAAAACCCCCAAAACCAACCTAAAATCCCTAAACGCCCGAAACCCTTAAACACCCCGAACACCTAAGACCCCCAAACAATCCAAACCCCCCAAATCCCTCCAATCCTGCCCAAACCGCCCTAGTTTCAGGGGGGAGGGAGCCCCCTGCGAAGAGAGAATCTACTTGAGGGGGGGGGGGGGGTCGGGTTTAGGGTTTAGGGTAGGGTTTAGGGTTTTTAGGGTTTAGGGTTTAGGGTTTAGGGTTTAGGGTTTAGGGTTTAGGGTTTAGGGTTTAGGGTTTAGGGTTTAGGGTTTAGGGTTTAGGGTTTAGGGTTTAGGGTTTACAAGCAGGGTGATGAGTACCTCAGCTCAGGTTCGAGAGCCAGACATCACTTTACCTTCCCTCGTTTGCAGTTACTCATGAGCCTCCAAGTAGGTTTTGCATCACCTCTGGATGTATCACACCCAACACCCAGTAGAGAAAACTGAACGCTGACCCATAACTGCGAACCCCAGACCCGGAAACCCCAAACCCCAAATCCGCAGATATGTGTGGCGACCTACGGCGTGGATTCCCTGAAGTGGAGCAGGGAGGAGTGGAGGGTTTAGGGTTTAGGGATTAGGGATTAGGGTTTAGGGTAAAGGGTTTAGGGTAGCGGGCTTTTACAAGACCAGCTTTGCAAGCTTGGGTGGGGAGCTTTGGGTTGAAGGAGTACCCTAACCCTAAACCCTAAACCCTAAACCCTAAGCCCTAAGCCCTAAGCCCTAAGCCCTAAACCCTAAACCCTAAACCCTAAACCCTCAACCCTAAACCCTAAACCCTAGACCCTAGACCCTAGACCCTAAACCCTAACCCCTAAACCCCTAAACCCCGAAAACCCGAAAACCCCTAAACCCTACACCCTAAACCCCACTTTCAAGAGATGACACAGGCTTTGTCGGAAGGGTTTCGGATGGCTCTTTTGCCAGATAGGGCTAAGAAAGACCCAAACTCCCCGAGTTTTCTGAGGGCTTCCCCCCAACGATGGGGTGTCTTGTCCAGGGCTCTGAATGTGCAGTTTAGGGTTTAGGGTTTAGGGTTTAGGTGCGGGAGCTTTTGCTGTGTGCCAAAGCGGCCGTCGCCGAGCCAATGCTCTCAGCACCAACGAAACAAAAACAAGAATCCTAAAGCCCTAAGCCCTAACCTCAGTTTGCAAAGCCCTGGTCAATCCCCGCAAGACCACAACCCTCCCCAAAGTCTCAACACTCTCAAGTTACTAACCCCCTTTGTTGGGGTTATTGTGCTTCTTACTTGTTGCCGCCCATGAACCTTCCATAAGGATTTGATCCGCGTTTTTTGGACCCCTTTTTGGGGACTGCAGTATATTCCTTCGAGTTTCAGGCACCCCTAAAACCTGAAAGCCTCAAAACCCTAAACCCTAAACCCTAAACCCTAAACCCTAAACCCTAAACCCTAAACCCTAAACCCTAAACCCTAAACCCTAAACCCTAAACCCTAAACCCTAAACCCTAAACCCTAAACCCTAAACCCTAAACCCTAACGCCTAAACCCTAAACCCTAAACCCTAAACCCTAAACCCTAAACCCTAAACCCTAAACCCTAAACCCTAAACCCTAAACCCTAAACCCTAAACCCTAAACCCTAAACCCTAAACCCTAAACCCTAAACCCTCCACTCCTCACCCCGAGCCGAGCCGAACCATGGCGCACGCCTGGAGGCCCTGAAAGTGACTGTGGAGTTGAGGCTTGAGGTTGGTTTGGGGTTTAGGGTTTGGGGTTTAGGGTTTAGGGTTTAGGGTTTCGGGTTTCGGGTTTCGGGTTTAGGATTTAGGGGTTTAGGGTTTAAGGTGGGGAGGGGGGAGGCCCCCAAGCCCTTTGAAGCCAAGGATTCGAGTTTCTAACCTGGCGCTGGGCCTCAGTGAGGGGCCTAAACCCTAACGCCTTGACCCGAAACCCTACATTAAACCCTAAACCCGAAACAACTTGACCTTGAAACGTTAGGGCCCTAGGCCGGTCCCCTGGTATGGTCCATGAATAACCTTCCTTAAAAGGGTTCTGAAGTATGGGCCCTTGGGTTGTTTTGGTATATAAGGGGTATACAAGGAGTATATAAGGGGTATGTAAGGGTGTGTAAGGGTTCCCCAATAAAGGGCCGGACCATGTAACTGCTTCAAGGTTTTGGTGTGCCCCCCCCCTCCCCAACGTCTTTGAGACGTGAAAGGCCTTTGTGGAGGGTTTAGGAAAGCCCTTGCATGTTGGTCAGGTAGTTCTGAGACAACCCGAAACCCTAAGCCAGACGGCTATTAAAAAAGGTTTAGGGTGTTGGCCCCCCAAACCCCCTAAAACTCCAAATCCCAAACGCCAAGCCCTAAACCCTAAACCCCAAACCCCAAACCCTAAACCCCAAACCCCAAACCGCAAACCCCAAACCCCAAACCCTAAACCCTAAACCCTAAACCCTAAACCCTAAACCCCAAACCCTAAACCCTAAACCCTAAACCCTACCTGCACAGGCCGCTCCAGCGTCTCCCGGCAGCGTCGGCTCCGAGCCACGCAGCGCTCCGAGGCCGCGCAGTGACTTCAGCGGGGTTTGGGATGTGTGGGATGTATGTGTGGCCCCGAAAGGGTTTAGGGTTTAGGGTTTAGGGTTTAGGGTCTAGGGTTTAGGGTTTAGGGTTTAGAGCACGAGGATTCCGATTTAGTTGGAGTATAAGGGCCCGCCCCAAAACGGGGGGGATTCTGGAAAACCACCTTTGCAGAATCCTCAGGTTCATGTAGAACCCCGGGGCCCCAGAAGGTGTGGGGCCCTAGGGTTTGGGATTTCAGGAGTAGGGCTTACGAGGGTAACCCCCTAAACCCCCCAAAATGCCTATTTTAGGATTTAAGGTTACCTCCTAAACCACAATTTCCCTTTTTTGGGGATTTAGGGTAGGCTTCTGGATGTTCCTGGCTTGCGGCCACTTCTGTGAATTTGTACAAAAAGCCAGAATAGAAAGAGCACCTATGGGTCTAGGGTTTAGGGTTTAGTGTTAGGGGTACCTGGCATCTTGGACAGAAAGGAAGCCCGCAAAGCCCGCACAAAGCACGTTACCCCATCCAGTCCGCGAAGCTGAGCAGTTCAGTGGCCAACACTGGGCAAGGATTCAGCGGAACTGTTCCTACGCCCTAAGATCCAAAGCCCCCCAAGCCCCAAGCTCCTAGGCCCCATAGTCTGGTCACGGATGGGCCCTGGTTGTGACTTGCACCGCCTGAAGTAGCACGCGGGCGCGGCGGATGGTCTTGGCTTCCTGAAGGTTCGATACGAATTTGTTGGTTAATTCGACGGTTTGAGATAGCCGTTGGGGAGGAAATCCGCCGCAGTCGCTGGTTCGATCCCCCCGCCAGCAGTTGATTTGCCTTTTTGCAGAGTGACTTTGTGTGGTGGGATCGTCGATGACTGCCCTGCACGGCAGATGGAAGGACTTGGAGAGCAGCAACATCTACGTCGTGACGAACCCTGATTCAGACAACCCGTACGTGCAGCTCTTGACCGTCGTGAACAATCCTGCAAAGGATGACCGGCGCGACTTCGAGATCCGACCTGGTGAGAACGGGGGCACACAAATGATCCCCATGATGCACAAAGACACCCTGGGAATGGAGACCATCTATGATCTCTACATCGACTACTCAGTCCCGGGTCGAATCATTTGGTACAGCCCCACCACAGGGAGACGGCGCACCTGGCAGTTCATGCTACAGGTATGGAACACCACGCTGGTGCAGCTGATGGGGGAAGTTGAAGGCGATGTCCTGCGGCTCATCATGCGGAAGCTCACAGGCGAGGAGATTTCGAGGCTTCTTCTGCACCGAAGCATGAGCTGGAAGGATGCCAGGAAGCTCATGGTTCCGGGCCTCCGACCGCTCCTCTCCAAGAAGCTGGCCTTCGTGTCGCCCCCAGGAGAGGTCCTAACGCCCGCGCAGAACGAGCGGCCACTCAGTGAGCTGCTGGGATGTGCGCAATGTGCGCCAGAGCCAGATGAGGCGTGGAGGCGCTTCCAGTAATTTTGGATAGGCGCTTTCTTCGACTTGTCTGTTGCAGATCGTTGCAGGGAGAGAGCGCCCCAAATCCTAAACCATAAGCCCTAAACCCTAAACCCTAGACCCCAGACCCTAAACCCTAAACCCTAAACCCTAAGCCCCAAACCCTAAACCCTAAACCCTAAACGTTTCCTGCGATCTTGTAACCCATAGAAACGTCGCCCGTGAGCCTTTTGCTCCAAGGGAGGACATCATCGAGGTATAGACGAGACAAGAGTTGCAGGAGCTGCGCCCAGAGACTCCAAAACCCCTTAATTAAGGAATACACCTTAAGTTATAATAGGAACCCTAATATGATTTAAGGTATGTTCCTTAATTAAGGAATGCACCTTAAGTTATAATAGGAACCCTAATAGGATTTAAGGTATGTTCCTTAATTAAGGGGTTTTGGAGTCTCCAGGCGCCGGTGCCACCCATCACAAGTCCTTTGCGACAGGTTTCACCCGAAGCTTTCGGTCTGAATGCAAGGGGACACGTTCTCGGACATGCATCTGAGCGGTTTAGGGTTTAGGGTTTAGGGTTTAGGGTTTAGGGTTTAGGGTTTAGGGTTTAGGGTTTAGGGTTTAGGGTTTAGGGTTGCTCTAAAGGGAGAGCTTCGGCGATCCGCTGTCTCCGAAACAGCTTCCGTGAACTGATGTGCGCCTATCGAAGTGCCTCGCCCTGTGCCCGTGTCCTGGCGATCTCTCCTTTACATTCGCCAGGGTTTAGGGTTTGGGGTTTAGGTTTTAGGGCTTAGGGTTTAGGGTTTAGGGTTTCGGGGAGTTTTGTGTAGCATCTTTGCTACCAGAGTCAGCTGACCTTGAACTGCTGCGCAAAGATGCACTGTGTCGCGGCCTCGTCATACTCGGCGCCGTCAAAAGAATCCTCAAATCCTAAACCCTAACACCCCCTGTACCTGGTAAAGGGGCGCCCCTAAATAGGGACCGAGCGGATGGCTCCAGGCAGTTTGCATCACGATGTGACTTCCCAGTCAGGAGTCGGCCACCCGATTTCTGTCGTTTGGTTTAGGGTTTAGGGTTTCGGGTTTGGGTTTAGGGTTGTTTAGGGTTGAAGGTACAAGGGCAGCAGTCAGACCGTCTTTGCGGCTTTTTACTGGATGGACCATTTTGGATGCCGGTGGACTCCCTGCCCGAAGCACCTAAACTCCCCGAAAGCCTCATCCCTAAACCCTAAACCATAAACCTTAAACCCCAAGCCCTAAACCCTAAACCCTAAACCCTAAACCGTAAACCCTAAACCCTAAACCCTAAACCCTAAACCCTAAACCCTAAACCCTAAACCCTAAACCCTAAACCCTCAACCCTCAACCCTAAACCCTAAACCCTAGACCCTAAACCCTAAACCCTAAACCCTAAACCCTAAACCCTAAACCCTAAACCCTAAACCCTACCATGGGATGTCCACCGGTGGCAGTTGCACACTTCGATTTCAGGCTGAGGCATGTATTTGTGGCACGAGACGCCGAGAGAACACTGCGGCCTTGCCATCGGTTTTGCGGGTCTACGATTTCAGGGGCTTAAGATTGGCACCCCTGAGGTCGTACCCCTACAGGTTCCCCCCTGAAATATACTCTTAAGATGGCCTTTGTACTACCTTAGGGATCAAAAAAAAAGGGGCTCCCAAACCCAAGGTACCCACCTTAGGGTCCAAGGCAGAGAGTTCTTTGAGGATTCTCGGGGCCTGCTGGGCTGGGGTCAAAAACGAACCCTAAACCCCAAACCCTAAACCCTAAACCCTAAACCCTAAACCCTAAACCCTAAACCCTAAACCCTGAACCCTGAACCCTAAACCCTAAACCCTAAACCCTAAACCCTAAACCCTCAACCCTCAACCCTCAACCCTAAACCCTAGACCCTAAACCCTAAACCCTAAACCCTAAACCCTAAACCCTAAACCCTAAACCCTCAACCCTAAACCCTAAACCCTAAACCCTTAGGGCTTAGGGTCTAAGGGTAGCAAGGGCTTCAAGGGTGATATGGGACTTGTGGTCGGCATCGCCGTGGGCTCTTGATCTTCTTGTGCCGTTTCCCAATTAGGGTTTAGGGTTTAGGGTGTAGAGTTTAGGGTTTAGGGTTAGGGGCCTCTAAAACTCTGAGTTCTCCAGATCCACCAACTCGCTTAAACAAAACTAAAGCCCTGAGATTCATTCCCCAGACCGAACCACCAACGACCATAATTCCCCGAACATATAGCATGTATATCATGTATAAGATGTACAAGATGTACAATATGTACAATATGTACAGTCCGTATAGCACGTTTGTAGTCTAGCATTACAATGTCGATTAACATTATATATCGAGAGCATAGTATACCATAGCATAATCAAATTCAACATCGTTTTCTGTTCTTATTCTTATTCTATTCTTATTATTAATATACATCACACAATATTAGCTGCTTCTCATTCTGGTTGTGCTATGCGACACGTAGAATATGGCGCGGTGGCCAGGCGCGCCGGCAGTGATGGACTTCTCCTCGGCACTGACAGCATTTCGGGGCCAATGGTCCGGAGGCGCTTCTCTCTCTAGGTTTAGGGTTCAGGGTTCAGGGTTTAGGGTTCAGGGTTTAGGTTTTGGAGTTCAGGGTTCAGGTTTCAGCCCAGACCACCCGTTTAGGGTTTGGGGTTCAGGCTGGGAGTTTGCCTCAAGCGCCAGTGATATAGCTTCTGGGCTAGAGTTCCTTGCTGCATGTAGAGAAACAAGCATGTCGAATGCAAGTAGGGATATAGATCCCTAAATAGCAGGATTTCCTTTTTTGTCAGGACCCCAATAAGGTACCCCTCAATTTCGGACACCCCCAAGTAGGGCCTTGTTGTGGGTAGCTCTGCTGTCATGGCAAAGGCTTTTCTTAGTTGTAGAGCAGGTGACCTTTAACCTTTTTGGGTTAATAGGGTTTAGGGTTTAGGGTTTAGGGTTTAGGGTTTAGGGTTTAGGGTTTAGGGTTTAGGGATAGAATCCCCTTATAGTCCCAAAGGTTAACCTTGAGTTCCCCCAGGTACTGGACAACTAGGTTTTGGAGGAAGCTGAATTGCTTCGCTTCGAGTTCTTGAGATTTGGGGTTGAGGGTTTGTGCTTGTTGAAGTTTGGTGTTCGAGATTTTCCCCCTCATGCTAACAGTCCTTTATGAATCCCTATTCAGGACTGTTAGTATGAGGGGGCACATCCCAATTTGGGGTGTTAAAGATGCTTTAGTGTTGTTCGTTTCCCCCCCCCCCCCATCCGGCACCCAAAACTCAATGGGGCTTCTTGATTGTCCTCTTGGTCGTGGACTGGCACGTCAGGTTCAAGTCCAGTTCAAGGTTTGAGTCTAGGTTCCTTTCATTAGTACTGGCTTTCGAATTTGGGATTTGGTTTAGGATCCGGGTCAGCATTTGAACCTGCTCCGGCTCCGCAGTGTTTGGCTCATGAATCATGAATAGAAGTGCAGCAGGCACGCATGCACAGGATGTCCTGCAAATAAATGTCCCCAAAGCGGCCCGGATGACGATCACTGACCCTACCTGCAATCGGCGGGCTTTTCTTGACCCACGGCATGCCACACAGAAACCTGGCCTGATGAACTTGATAGGCTGGCAAGCCAAAGTATCCCTCAACCCCGCACCATGCGTAAACCCCGAACCTCGCAGCGTCGGAAGTAGCAAACCTCAAGTACCGGCAGCCCACAACCTCGGGTTTGTGCCGCGCTTGGCCGGCAGCTTCGCTGGGGTCTCGGAAGTTTCGAGGGTTTTGGCGGCAGTGAATGCTGCCCTCAGTACTGTTTAGGATTTAGGGTTTGGGGGCTTCTCAGAGTTTGCTTGAAGGTTCGTGGGTAGTTCAAAGATGTTCAATGTAGGGTTAGAAGTACCTCCAGCTTTTGCTAGTTCACCTCAATCGGCGTCCTGGCACGGCTGACCTTTGGGGATTCGAACCCCTGATGGTCAGGTCTCTAGATGAAAGGGGCTGCTTTCGCAAGGGGACCCCAAAGAGGACCCAAACGACAGAGAAGTCGCCGCATCCTAAGCCATAGCTTTCAGTTTGCCCCTGAAGAAGTGAAAGCCCTAGTCTCTCTCTTCTCTCTATGTCTTGATCTCTAAAACCCTAACCCCAAACCCTAAACGCTGAACCCTATCTCCATCATCATCTCTCTTTCTCTCTCTCTCTCTCCCTCTCTCTCGCTCTCTCGCTCTCTCGCTCTCTCGCTCTCTCGCTCTCTCTCGCGGTGTCTCCTCAAGCCATAGACCCTAAAGCCTAAACCCTAAACCCTAAACCAAAAATCCCTAGACCCTAGGACTCAAGTGGTACGACTTTTTCCTTTTCGTCTTACATCCCTCATGGGTTCACATTGACCAGAAGCGGGTTCCCTTTCAGCAAACTCAGTGCTCCGAACCGCTCCTTCCGGGGTGAGTCCCAGATCCCCTTGAGGTTTAGGGTTTAGGGTAACCCTAAATAGGGTTTAGGGTGTAGGGTTTAGGGTTTAGGGTTTAGGGTTTAGGGTTTAGGGTTTTTAGGGTTTGCGGCTTTCAGTGTTTCAGCCGTCGAGGGTGGATTTGGTTCGGGGAGCCCCCTTTGGCTCCCTGCAGAGGATGCTGCGCTTAGGGCCTCCGGGTTTGCCAGATGCAGCTGTTGCTGGAGCCAGAGTTCTTTCCTTGGGAATTATACTTTTTTATTTTTGTTTATATAAAACCCAAGAGGATATTAGAAATATTAATTTTATGAAGGTTCTGCAGGGAGTATGGGAGTTCCCCAGTCCATGCACTTTGCGCACCCTACGTGGAAAGCCTACGAGCCAAAGGCACTGCCCACCATACTTAGGGGCGGGGGGGGGGGGGGGGGGTCAGATGTGCTTCTCAATCACGGACTCCAAGTGGGAGCCCCGCAAGTTCCAACCCAAAACCCTAAACCCCTAAACCCTAAACCCTAAGCCCTAAACCCTAAACCTCAAACCCCAAACCCTAAACCCTAAACTCTAAACTCTAAACTCAAACCCTTAGGAGAGAAGCCCTAAGCATTACCAAGGCCCTCAGCTCGAAGCCTAATATACAATATAGTATACAACATAAATGAATATAGTATAATATAATGGAGTTTAGCTTAAACAAAGCAAAACGACATAGCAAATATAGAAAATGTATATATGTATATACAGTACACGATTTATGTGTATACGGAATATAGTATAGCAGATATACAGGAATCATACACATGCATATAGACAATGCATATAGATGTAAGTAGAAAACATGACTAACAAAATCTATATGTAGAAGTATTTAGATAAATACATAAATAAATATGTATATGTATATATATATATATATATATTTGTTTCTATTTCTATTTCTATGTCTTTTTCTGTTTCTATTTGTAGCAGGTGGACCCTTGCTTCGGATGTTGCTTCGCTAGGTCCCCCTTGGCGGCATGCGCCTGGCAAAGGCCGGGCCCCGGTGACGCTTTTATGGGGGCTTAGGTTTCCGTTTAGGGGTTGGGGTTTGGGGTTTGGGGTTTGGGGTTTGGGGTTTGGGGTTTGGGGTTTAGGGTTTAGGGTTTAGTGTTTAGGGTTTAGGGTTTAGGGTTTAGGGTTTGGGCTTACTTCATATAGGGTCGGAGTAATTACGAATAAGATTCCCTTATGATCCCTTTGTAGGTGTACTATGATAACCCCCAAAACCCTATTCTAATTCTTCAGCAGGGATTGGGGTGGTTTCGTGCGTGCGGCTTGTCGGGTTGTAGTGGCTTTCGGGGTTAGGGATCTAAATATAAATATAAACAAAATAAATATATACATAAATAAATAAATAAATAAATATATATATATATATATATATATATATATATAGTAGGGGTCCACACTGGGCTGTACTGCACGACCCCCGAAGCCCGAAGCCCCAAACCCGGTGCAGGCGGCGACGTCGCCTCTCGCCAGGTGGCATCCTCGGTGTTCTCTGCAGCCGTGAGCCGTGGGGCTTTGAGACAGCGACATGGGGGGGGTTCCGAAAAATTGCGGGTACCCTTTTTTTGGGAGGTCCCTCTAAGGGATCCGATTCTAATTCTTTGGGGTATGTAAAAGGGGTTTGGCTGAGCAAGAAGGGGCTCAGAAGCCAGACAAGCCAGGCTGAGAATACCAGTAACGTTGAAAACTCAGCAAAAAGCGCGGCAAAAACTAGGTCTTCCGCGCGGGGGGAGGGAGGGGGGGAATTCTGAAGGTTCATGTTGGAATGCGGGCACGGGTCGGCACCACCAAAGCCATGGGCTCGCGCCCAAGCGGGCGATGGACCACGGGCGTGGCCGGACTTGAAAGCCTCCGGCTCAAACCGCCGACCTCGCAGGGGATTTTTCCATGGAGGGAGCCCCAAAAACCGCTGCGCCCTAGACCTCAAGGTCCCAGAGATTGCCCATCGCAGTGCCAAGGTCGGCGGACTAGATTCTACAAGCGCTAGCATCCATTCGCAGTTTCGAGCCGCCATCGGGGGCTGCAGCCCAGCCCTGGGGTTGAAGGTTTCTGAAAAAATCTGAGGCCCTGAACGCCTGAAACTCCTAAGCCCGAAATCTCAAAACCCTCGAGACTCTTGGGCTCTTCAGGGCCCCTGCAAGGCCCTGAAGAGGGCCTTGAGGCCCCTCACCAGCAGCCTCAAGCTCCCCCAGTCCTGCAAGGTTGAGCCTCCACGGGGAGCGCAGCCCGGCCTTTGTTACTTGCGAGGACCCAGAGTAGGCCCTTCTTCCCCCTGGGGTTTAAGGGGGTTTAAGGGGGTTTAAGGGGGGGTTTAAGGGGGTTGTAGGGGGGTTTAAGGGGGTCTAAAAGGGTTGAGGTTCCCTTAGAAGCCCCTTTTGAACCGGAAAGGGCAACCTTGTTATTCCTAGAATGCGTTGTGGGGGGTGGGCGCCTTAACCTGGGTTGCTTTCGAGCTCACATAGGAATGCCCTAAACCCTAAACCCTAAACCCTAAACCCTAAACCCTAAACCCTAAACCCCAAACCCTAAACCCTATACCCTGAACCCTTCAACCCTAGCTCCTTAAGAGCCCTTGAGCCCTGAAACAGCCCTTGGACCCCCTCAGCACACCGAAAAATCCCCAAAAGCCTTGCAAAAAGCTGAGCCCCTGAAAAAGTACGGGTTCAAACCGAAACCTCCTCTCTGAGCTGCTATTAAGGAACTACTCTCCATATCCCTGGCAAATCGTTCCTGTTTGCTCTCGACTCTGCCGTGCCGGTTGTTTCGGGTTTCGGGTTTAGGGTTTAGGGGTGTTGGGGCCGTTTGGGGATCGGCGGCTTCTGCTTCGCGGCCTCACCCTTCCTGGAAACTGCGCGGGCTTCTGACCCTGAACCCTGCAAACCCTCGCGTCATCACGCCTTGAATTCCGTGTCCCTGGGCAAATCCCCCCCCCAAATCCCCAAATCCCCCCCTAAATCCCCCCCCAAATCCCCAAATCCCCCCCCAAATCCCCCCCCCAAATCCCCCCCCAAATTCCCCCCTCAACCCCTCAGCCCAAAGCTTCCCGAAGCCAAGCCCTAAACCCTCCCCCGAGCCTCTGAAGCCGTTGCTGAACCCTGAGCCCCCAAAGCCCCCCCGAAAAGCCCGGAGAAGCCCCAACAAACCCTGAACCCCTAAGCGCTAAGAACCAAAGCCCTAAGCCTCCGAGCCTTTAAGCCAAAACGCCCGAAACCCAAAGCCCCAAGCCCAAGCCCCAAGCCCCAAGCCCAAAGCCCCAAACCCGAAGCCCTAAGCCCCAAGCCCTAAGCCCTAAGCCCTAAGCCCTAAGCCCTAAGCCCTAAGCCCTAAACACCAAACCCTAAGCCCAGGCCCGAGCCTGGCGCTGCCTCTGGCTGCGGGGGCTCTGGCACTGGGCGCTGCGGCGCTCTCCCCAGTTCAGGCCCGGAAGTGTCAGGAAGTGCTTCGGAGTTTTGCGGGGATTTTGCTGCAGTGTCTTTGCCTGCGTATTTCAAGCGGATTTTGTTGAGGTTTCCGTTTCATTATTAGTACTCTTCTTCTTATTATATTTATTATATTATATCTCTTTTTTTGTTTTTTTTGGGGGGGGGGGGTAGGGAGGGTATTTAGAGGCTTAGCGTGGTGAGGGGCACTAGGATTTAGGGTTCAGGGCTGGTAAAGGAGTTGGGGGGTTGAGGATTTAGGGGGCTTATAGGGCCTAGCAGCTTCACAATGGGGGCTTAGGGTTTAGGGTTTAGGGATTAGGGTTTAGGGTTTAGGGGTTTGAACGTCTGGCGGCTGGCCTAGGGCTCAAACGCAAGGAGGTCTTTGGTCTCAAACTCAAGGATGATTTCCCTGAGCTCTGAACTCTAAAAAGGCTGATGAACGGCGAAAGGCCAACTGCAACCTGGAATCCAGCCTATTCTTATTATTATGATGATTATTTTTATTCTTATTCTTACGTATGATTCTTATTACGATTATTACTATTATTACTATTATTACTATTATTCTAGTAGTACTATTATTATTCCTATTATTATTTTTATTGCCATTTGTATTATTACCATTATTATTATTATTGTTATTATTATTGCTACTATTCTTCTTATACTTATGTGGCAGCCTCTTCATGGTTCTTGGAGTCGAGCGCTACTTTGCGACCCTGGCTGGGATGTGGAGAGCGAAAGGACTTTTTTTGGGCCTAGAGTTCAGGGTTCATAGGGCATCGGTGTGAGATGGGAGGCCATCTGAGGTTGGTGCGATTCCACAGTTTCACAGCCACATCCTGAACAGCTTTCACCCGTCGTATTCAGAACAGCAGGGGTAGTGAGGACTACATCCTACATAAACACCCTCAAAGAGCCCGTAGACCTTAAGCATCTCAAAGCCCAAACCCGCCAAACCCTGCAGTAAACCCCAGAGCCCTCAACCCTAATGCGCCCCAGCTGCAGGCAAAAGAACAGAAGACGCGACAGCAGGCCGCTCCGACAGTGCAGCGACTTCTCAGCGCCCTAAACACAATTCCCCCCTCCCCCCCCCAAAACCCCACCCCCCGCCCTTGACAATTTCATGCTTCTGTTATCTGTGATGGGCTTTGGGGGCCTCGGGTTCTCTGAAAAACCACAGGTCTTCGCCTGGGGCCGCGCTCAAGCCCACCCGGGCGGGTCCTCGAGCGACGTGCTGTGGCCGCGGCGGGTGGAGTGGTACGGGCCCAAGTACCGTAGGGGTCGGAGCAATTACAGGGGTCGGAGTCATTACTAATGGTATTCCCTTATGGGCCCTTTATCAGTATACTACAAGAACCCCCCAAAGCCTTGTTCCAACTTTCGGCCCCTAAGTTAGTTGAAAATCAGCTACCAGGCTTTGTTTTTTGAGGCTTCATGGGTACGGTACAAGGTAGGGTTACAAGTTCTTTCTTTTGACAAAAGTGTGCCTTGAACCTTCAAGTAGCCCTTGGAGAAACTTCGGGAAGCTTCGGGTTCAGGGTGATGGTTTAGGGTTTACGGTTTAAGGTTTTCTTTTTGGGCTTGGGGGCCCAAACCCGAAACGCTAAACCCTAAAAGCTTGGAGGGCTCTAGGGGCTGAGGGCTTTAGGGATTTAGAGGATTGCAGGATTGGAGGGTTGGATGGGGATTTGCTCGGGGTTTAGGGCTTGGGGCTGGGAGACTGAGCCCCAGATTCATAGTTTAGGGTTTAGGGGTTAGGGTTTAGGGCAACCCTCCCCCCCCCCCCCCCCCCCCCAACCAAAAAAAAGGGCTCCGCACGCCGAGGTTCGAAGAAAACCCCCACGGCTGGAAGAAGGTGGGGGGGTTTGCGATATTAGCCCTAAACCCTAAACCCTAAACCCTAAACCCTAAACCCTAAACCCTAAACCCTAAACCCTAAACCCTAAACCCTAAACCCTAAACCCTAAACCCTAAACCCTAAACCCTAAACCCCAAACCCAAAACCCTAAACCCTAAACCCTAAACCCTAAACCCTCAACCCTAAACCCTAAACCCTAAACCCTAAACCCTAAACCCTAAACCCTAAGCCCGAAGCCTTATGTTCGTAAACTGCCAGGTGGCCTTCGGCCCCGACTTCGGCGCGGCCTTAGACAAGCGTGGGCAGCTCCTGGGCTTTCTCCTAGGGTCCAGAGTAGGCCCGTTTTCCCTTAAGGTGTAGGGTTTAGGGTTTAGGGTTTAGGGTTTAGGGACCCTAAACCCCCTAAAACCCAAAAAGGACACCCTTTTTCTTCCTAGGTTAGTCTTGGGTCTAGTATCTTGCAACTTCAGGGTTTTTTTTGGCTCGTGGTAGAGAACGTTCTCCTACCCCAGAATTTCAACCGTGCAGAGAAGTCCCCCGGAGCAGCCCATAAGTTGCCCAGCCCAGAGAGTTCCTTAGGGTTTAGGGTTTAGGGTTTAGGGGTTAGGGTTTAGGGTTTAGGGTTCCGCAGAGTGCTCCCGTGCAGAGTGTGGTTGGAGCTCCCAGACAATCCCGCAGAATATCCCGCAGAATCCCTGGAGAGCGAACCCTCAGATATAGAGAAGTCCGAAGGGCAACCTTTCTGGGGTCCTTATTATGAGGGGGCCCTACTGCCTGGGGATCTGTATTTAGGGTCCCCTGTTTTCGTAAACGCCCATATTGCCACACCGCACACGGTATTCCTGGACAAGTTGCTAGTTGCTTAGGTTCAGAAACCCCAGACCCTAGACCCTAGACCCTAGACCCTAAACCCCAAACCCTAAACCCTAAACAGGGAAGTTTTAGGGTTCAGGACTTGGAGCTTCGCCAACTCCGAGAACTTTAAGCTGAGGGCTCCTGCTGCTTAAGCCCCAAGAGCCTGAAGCTTAAGGAAGATCTTTTTGTCAAACCCTCAAACCTCCACCCGCTAAAAGCCCTAAGCCCTAAGCCCGAAGCCGAAGCCCTAAGCCCTAAGCCCTAAGCCCCAAGCCCCAAGCTCTAAGCCCTAAGCCCTAAGCCCTCAGCCCCAAGCCCCAAGCCCTAAGCCCTAAACCAAAAACCCTAAGCTTAGCCTAAGACCTAAACCCAAAGCGCTCAGCCCTAAGCCCTCAGCTGCTGCTTTCCGGCTTGCTCCAAGGCTCTTTGTCTGGGGCGCTGGGCCTGTGGCTGGCTCCTTCATAGGTAGGGCGCGGTCTTTGGGGTTTTCGGGGTTAAGCGGGACTCAAGGCTTGTTGGAGCTAGGAGTTTGGGAAGCTCCGGGCTCATGTCTTGGGATTTTCGGGGCCAAAGAGTGCTTGCGTGCGAGCCTCGGTCCGCAACTTAGTACTGTCAGTAGCCGGTTCAACGCCTGCTGTTTCCGAAGATTGCCTGGGGCAATGCCTGCACGGCTTTTCTTCCCGTGTGCCCCAATTGAGGAAACTTGCCCCAGGCCGCTGGAGCCCAACTCCAGCCCTGGCTTTACACTGGCCTTACACTGAACAACTCGGCCCTTCCAATGTGGGCAGCTCTGGGAGTCACGATCCCGAAGCCCAACCTTCATGAACTGCGCCGGAAGGTCCGCTCAAAGTGGACGTGCAGGGCGACGGCAGGGGCCAAGGCAGGGCTGGCGATTGAGAGTTGGGGGGCTGGGAGCCTTTGATCTTGAGGGACGTAGTGGCCTGGGCCCAGGGGGCTTAAAAAATGAGGGGACGTGCTTCCGCCCCAGACGCTGTAGCTCCCGACGCTGGGTTCTTTGCTAAGGGGCTCCGTTCCCTCTGATGATGGCAAGGGATTGCACCGGCTGCTGGATCTGGCCCTTGTCAACCCTGAAAGCCCTAAACTGCCCTAAAGCCCCAATCCCACAAACCCTTAAACCCTAAGCCCTAAGCCCGAAACCCTAAACCCTAAACCCTAAACCCTAAACCCTAAACCCTAAACCCTAAACCCTAAACCCTAAACCCTAAACCCTACCCCTAAACCCTAAACCCTAAACCCTAAACCCTAAACCCTAAACCCTAAACCCTAAACCCTAAACCCTAAACCCTAAACCCTAAACCCTAAACCCTAAACCCTAAACCCTAAACCCTAAACCCTAAACCCTAAACCCTAAACCCAACACTTCTTAAACCCAACACCTCCCAAGCCTTAAGGCCGAAGCCCCCAAACCCGGAGGCCTTGAGGATGTCCAGCTGTCTTCGAAGAAGATGCTCGGACATGAGATGGCTCAGCTTGTGTGAGGTGGGGGGTTTTGGGTTTTTTTTGGGTTCCTAGGGTTTACTGCAACAGGCTTAGTCACAGTGCCTAAACCCAAAAAAGCCCTAAACCCTAGACCCTACACCCTAGACCCTAAACCCTAAACCCTAAACCCTAAACCCTAGACCCTGAACCCCGAACCCTGGGAAGGCACCCCGGGGTTCCCCCTGTGGCCCAAGGATGTTCGCCCTGACACGGCGCGGTGATGCTCTAGTCTTCGAGGGCTTCGTCGAGGATGGAACCCGAAACCCGAAACCCGAAACCCGAAACCCGAAACCCGAAACCCGAAACCCGAAACCCGAAACCCTAAACCCTAAACCCTAAACCCTAAACCCTAAACCCTAAACCCTAAACCCTAAACCCTAAACCCTAAACCCTAAACCCTAAACCCTAAACCCTAAACCCTAAACCTAAACCCTAAACTGCGGATGTGCTGCGTGTGCTTGTTAAGAGTTAAAAGGCGTTCAACTTGCTGATGCGGTCTCAGCGGCACCAGCAGCCCATGGCCCAAGGGCAACACGTGATGAGTCTTCTGCAGCAGCCCAGGACATCTGAATCCTCACTTGAGGAGCACTTCGTGCTGCTTCTGAGTCTCCTTGGGCATGCTCTGCGAACAGACAAGAGAGACCTCACATCGACGTAACAGACACCACTGAAAGCTCCCCATTCTCGAGTTGCTGCCGTTGGCCGAGCTGCGTGTTGGGGGGCGCGATGCAAGCTCAAGCAAGTTTCAAGCTGTGATGAGGCTCCAGCAGCAGCCCAGGACAGCTGAATCCTGCCTTGAGGACCATGCTGCTCGCCTGAGCTTGCCAGCCCAAGCAGCAACTGCCGTGGTCCTTCTCGGCGCCGCACATGCCTTCACAGATCTCGAAGATCTGAACGGTCACTTGTTTTGGCTGCTGAGAGGCTGTGAAATGATGCCGAGGGTTTGTTTTTATTGGCAACGGTCGTCGCCTTTGTTGTGCGCCAACCGTGCTTGCTTTGGATTCAGCTTTATGTGCCTGCCTGCTGTCTGCGGCCCCGCTGATTGACCCTTGAGTGCCTCGAGACATGCGGATTGTGCCAGTTTCGGCGAAGACTCTATCTGCACGTTGGAGTTGTCTCATTCCGTTGTGGGGGAGGCGAGGATGATCCTTTGCAGCAGCCCAGGACATCTGAGCATACAGGTGAAGATTACCATTTGCTAAACCCCTAAACCCTAAACCACCACAAGAGGGGACTTCTGGCAGGAGCTCCTGAAACGCGGGGCGCCGGCTGCCGAGGCAGCCGAGGCGGCCGCAGCGGCCAAGGAGGCGGACGAGGAGGCGCGGCCGGCACTGGAGGCGGCGGCAGCAGAGGCTGGGGTTTAGGGTTTAGGGTTTCGGGTTTAGGGTTTAGGGTATAGAGTATAGGGTTTAGGGTTCAGGGTTTAATTAGGGGTTATGGATTAGGGTTCCGGGTTTAGGGTTTGGGGTTTGGGGTCTAGGGTTGGAGGCGTGTTGGGCCTTTTTGGGGCTCGATTGGGGTTTTATAGGGGTTGACGAGGAGATGTACCTGTTCACAGGGCGTATTTAAGGGAGCTTGTTTGGTCTGGGTTCAGGAGCGTTTCTGGGTCTCGGAGCTGAAATGGGTTCAGGGCTACGGTTTACAAGGGGCATCAGGGATTTGGGCCAAGGATTCAGGACTCGAGGTTTAGAGGTTCAGCCGTTCAGGGCCTTGTTGTGTGTTTAAGGCTGTGCGCTAAACCCTTTAAACCTTAAGTAGAGTTTGAGCATTTTGTGGGTTTTCACGTTTGCGCGGCTCTGCGTGGTTGGAAGACTGCCAGTCTCTTTACTAATCTCTAACTAAACCTTATGCCCTGGATTCGTACCAGCACGACCCCCAAGTACTAGCAAGTGTAGAAAAGAGACCGGAGAGTGCCCGGCAGCCCGGAACCTTGAACCTGCAGCTGGGCAGTAAAGGCTTGCCATGTGAGGCGGTGCAACACCTTCAGCGCACTTGCTGGGAGGTTGACTTCAGGTTCAGGGCCCGAGTGGAGCCCCTCGTTCTGCCTGAACCTTGAGAAGCCTAGAACCTACAACGCCGGTAAGTAGCTTTCAAGCTACGGGACCCCCGCCTCGGCCGAAGGCTTCGGCTCCTAAAAGGTGCGACAGCGGGGCGACAAATGTCCCTGGTCCTGATGCGCCGTCCGCTCCCGGAAACCTGTCGGCTGGGGGGTGCCCAGTCCAAGCAAGAAAGTACCAGTGGGGAGGGGATTAGAGGTGGGAGGTGCTTTATGCTCCCCAGACACCAAGAAGCATCCGCCAACCCGTTTAAGAGCAGTGGCCGCCAGCCCTCTCAAGGCTCAGGCGCAGCAGAAACCCACACTCTGAAAAACGTTGAAGACGTTGGGCTTCATGTTGGGAACACCGCATGCGAGAAGACGGGCAGAAGACCAAAAAAGCGGTTGCGTTCGCAGCTTTGGCCTAGCTTGTAAAGGGAGGTCATAATGTCAGAAGATGCGTGGCGTCAGCATCCATGGTGTGTATAAGAGTAGTTAGATCGTAGAAGCAACAACCCCGCAGGAAGCAGAAACAGTGCGCCAAGGCTGACAAAGCACTGGCCTTGTAGCTGCACATGGACGGTTCTCCAGTGCTCGTGTGTTGCCAAAAGGGAACCCACGGAGTGCATGGATGTCCCACAAGGGTGCTTTCTTTGGGAGGGGGGGGGTCTCAGGGGCTCCCAGAAGGGAGGCTTTCAGGGTCAAGCGAGGAGACCAGACGCTCAAATGCCTCTCGGCCGGTGGCCGAGGCAAACTTGAGTAGGTGCCAGGTATGGTTGCCCGCAGAAAGAAACTTTAGGCCACGCCCGCATATCAAACCACCGTAGAATTCTATTCCGACAATGCCTGGAGTAAAATAGCCTTCTCAACCCTACAAGACTCGCCTTGTCGTTCTTCAGCCTTAAAAGCCTTGCACACGCCCCCTGATCCCTAAAACAAAAACCCCTAGACCCTAGACCCTAAACCCTAAACCCTAAACCCTAAACCCTGAACCCTGAACCCTGAACCCTGAACACTGAACCCTAAACCGTAAACCCTAAACCCCAAGCAGGCAGCGCGCCGTGCTGCGGAGGCTTCCAAAGCCTCCAAGCAGCCCCTTCGGCTGACAGCGCAGGTGCCGCTTTGGGGTTAAGCTTGATGGCTTTAAGGCCCATTGGGTTTAGGGTTTAGGGTTTAGGGTTTCGGATTTCGGGTTTAGGGTTTAGGGTTTGGATAATTCCTCCAATCAGAGCTATGTAACTACTGTCCCTTGCACCTCCAAGGCATCCGGGGCTTTGGTGGTTTCGTGCTTGGCCCGTGATGAGGGCTCCGGGGCTTCAGGGTTTAGAGCTTAGGGGGTGGTAGGGCTTCAGGGTTTTGAGCTTAGGGGGTGGTACGGCTTCTGGGTTTAGAGCTTGGCGGGTGGTAGGGCTTCAGGGTTTGCTATCTTGAAAAAAGCGAAGCTTTAAGCTACGGCACTTTATTGGGCTATGGTTCGGTTGGTCGTTGATCAAGCTTCTGTTCGGTCCGGGTGGTGAGTGGGCATTAGGATGCGAAGGTGCTGGCGTTGTAGGATCGGGGTTGGAAGCCAACTTCACAACGACACCATGAGAAAGTTCATCGATTCTGCAGTGCTTTTGTGACAGCGACACGCTCTGGGTCGGCTTATGTGGATTCTCAGGGGGCATTTCGACACTTCGACCCGACTTGGTTCTTGTGATGCTCTGGACTTGTGAGGTTCTGAAGGGCTCGAAGTAGGCAGGCCAACGTTCTCCTTAGCTGCCTACCCTTGTCCTTAATTGAATATGTGCATCTTCGAACGGCCCGTATCGCTGGGTTGCGTTGGGCCTCACACAGTGAGTGTCTTGTGTTGGTGGCTTGTTTTTTGTCACAAGTGGCCGAACACAAACGCGAGAGCATCATGGCCATGCCCACCAACCTCTCCATGTTGACTTTATGCCATTTCCGAGGGAATCACGTTTGCAAACCTATCTTCCGCAATCATGCGCGCAAGCATCAAAACATCCTTACACTTGTGTGGGTTGTTGATGGCATTGATCTCTTTCAACAGGCAGTGCCAGGCCTGCCCCGTGCAGGCACGTTGGTTTCCGCTGCGGCTATTCTTCGTAAAAGTTTTTGATAACTTGGTACCTCACATGTCCGTTCTGACCACTGAAGTCACTTAAAGGATTTTTGTAGAGATCCTAATTTCCTAATTCACTTGTAAGAACCGGCCAGCAGAAGTTAGAACTCCAGCGTGCAAGGCTTGAAGAGTTGTGGGGGATACATCCCTGGAGTGCCACTGGTTGAGAAGCCGTATCTGACGAACCCCCCCCCCCCCACTGTGCCTCCACCTTTGGGGTTGTTGGAGGGTTCAGGTTTAGGGTTGACTTCGGGTTTAGGGTTCAGGGTTTCGGGCCCCTAACGCTTAAACCCTAAACCCTCAACCCTAAACAAACCCTAATGAGGGCGTCATATGCACGCCAGTCTTGAGTGACATGCAGCAGGGATAGACGCTCTGAAGATTAGGGGTTTAGGGGTTTAGGGTTTAGGGTTTAGGGTTGATGCTACATCTCAAGCCTCATGAACACATGCACTGCGGTCTGGACCAGACCCGCCTGGGAGCTAGGTGGCTGCGGGCCTTCAGAGGCCCTAGACCTCAGGTTATTAGGGTTTCGAGGTTTAGGGTTTAGGGTTTAGGGGTTTTGGGTTTAGGGGTTTTGGGTTTAGGGATTTAGGGTTTAGGGTTTAGGGTTGAGGGTTGAGGGTTGAGGGTTCCATGTGAGCCACTGAGCCCTGGACTCTTGCACCCTAGATGGCCGAGCTCTTCGCCCGAACATGGCAGGTCTGCTTGGCAGCCTCTGGGGGTACAAGGGCCGAGTGAAGTCGACGCCTGTTCGCAGAGTTAGGGTTCAGGGTTTCGGCGTCGGGTCTAGCCCTAAACCCTAAACCCTAAACCCTAAACCCTAAACCCTAAACCCTAAACCCTAAACCCTAAACCCTAAACCCTAAACCCTAAACCCTAAACCCTAAACCCCAAACCCCAAACCCCAAACCCTAAACCCTAAACCCTAAACCCTAAACCTTTGGGGTTCGGGGGTCGCAGATTGGGAGGGAACAATTCTCATTGGGGATGCCCTTAACCTTCCTAAGCAACTCAGCCGTTGAGGATTTTTACAGTGACGGCTCTCTGGCGTGTCGCTCTTTTTTTGCGGTCGGACAAGATGTCAAAACTGACGGAGTTCGCGTCCTGCGTTTATTTACTTGGCGGTTCGTGTTCGGTTATAGTTGTTTTCTGACTTTGAGGTGTTTTTGTTTCCGTGTCGGTGTATGTTGTCCACAGGGCGTCTGCATTGTGGGTCGCGCCTGCTGGTGTTTGGTCTATGGCGCCGCCCAAACCCACCCTAAACTGAATACGCCCTAAAAGAAACTGCGGTTAGGAGCAACCCCTCATGGGTTTAATTTTTTTTAAAAAACTTTTTAGTTAACAAATTTTTTACAGTTAAAAAATTTTTAAAAAATGTTTTAAAACATTTTTTAACGGCCAAGGTGGTCTAGCTCAGTCTTCTCGGCTCTCAGGGCCCCTAGAGCAGCTCTGTGTCGAGTGCATGCGATGTCAGCGCGGCCCCGGACCTCCAGGAAACTCTCAAAACCCCACATCCGCCAAGCTTGCAGGGCTTAGGTTTTCAGTTTAGGGTTTAGGGTTAAGGGTTTAGGGTTTAGGGTTTAGGGTTTTCCCCCCTTAAAAGCCAGAAAGCCCTAGAGCCGCCTTAAGCCACAAGCCGTACCCCCCCCCCCCGGAGAAGCCAAGACCCTTCAATGAAGGAATGGGCCATTTGGGAAAGGCCTTAGACCACCCTCCTAAACACCAAAAGCCGAAGTGAGCCCCCCAAACCCTGAGCCCTAAGCCCTAAACCCTAAACCCCAAACCCCAAACCCCAAACCCCTAAACCCTAGACCCCAAACGCCGAAGTGAGCCATAAGAGAGCCGAGGATGAGCATCGGCCTCGAGCACGGCTGCTTCGTAACGCGGCATGGGCAGCTGTACTGCGTCCACTGGCCCAGCACTGTGGGGGGTTTCAGTTTGGGGTGCAGGGTTTAGGGTTTAGGGTTTAGGGTTTCGGGTTTAGGGTTTAGGGGTACCCTGTGGGGGTCCTTACTATAAGGGAATCCTACTACTTGGGGGACTATTCTAGGGTTCTAGGGTCCCTTATTTTCATAAACCCCCAGGTGGGGTGGAGGGCGCGGGGGTTGAGGGTAAGCCGCCCTATATGCCTACACCTCAACCCGCAAGTTCAGGGTTCAGGGAATCTTTTACAATCGTATGAAGGGTTCGTATACGCACAGTACCTAACTTCCCCACTCCTTGCTAAGAACCAGCAGGGCATGGTGGCAGAGGCTTTAGTTCTTCAAGGCCGTAAACCCTAACCCTAAACCGTACACTTGAAACCTTAGACCCGAGAGGGCCCGGCGTGCGCACAATTATGCTGATGGCTTCATGGTCTGGGCTTTCTGTTGGACCGGTTTAGGGTTTAGGGTTGACTGTTTTAGGCGTGATGCACTCGTACCGTCCCGACGATGTGTGCTTTCTGGCCGCCGCGCGCCCGAACCCGGTCCGAAAACCCAAGACCAATAGCCCTAAACCCCAAAAAACCAAACTCCCAGAACTTCAGCTCCACTTGCTGCATTAGAAACACCCTCGTCCTAGCAGCGAGCTACCAGCTTCTGCTCACAGCGCGAAGGTCGGCGGCAACGAGTGGGGCCAGTGCGCCAAAGCTGCAGAGGTTTGGGGTGTGGGCTTAACTTAGTTGTAGAGTAGGTAACCTTAACCTTTTTGGGCTAATGGAATCCCCTTATAATCCCAAAGGTTGACCTTTAGTTCCCGTAGGTACTGGACAACTAGGTTAAGGTAAGCTAAACAAGAGCAACACTAAGTCTTACCCACTCTATCCATTGGCCTCGCGAGCCTTGGGAATCTTGTCAACTGGCGTAGAGCCGCACTAGTATAGGGGTCGGAGTAGTTTGAAGTAGTATTCCTTTATAAATATACTATATTAACCCAGAAAGACTATAAGAACCCCCAAAAGCCGATTCTAATCATTGAGGATCCTAGAGTACCCATCTTACACCCCCTGCATCCTAAACCCGAATGCTTAGATTTCAGGTCCTGGACGGCAAATTTCAAGGTGTAAGTTGTCACGTTGCGTTCAAAGTTGGCACTTGCTACTTATCTGGGTTGCAATCAGCTTTGGTTCCTGAAGCTTGCACAGGGCTTCCTATTGCCGTGCCAGACCCTAAACCCTAAACCCAAAATTCTAAACCCTAAGCCCTAAACCCTAAAGCCTAAACCGTGAAGCCTAAAGCCTAAAGCCTAAAGCCTAAAGCCTAAAGCCTAAAGCCTAAAGCCTAAAGCCTAAAGCCTGAAGCCTAAGGCCTAAACCCTAAACCCTAAGCCCTAAACCCCAAACTGAGCTCCGCGAAGCGAAGCAAATAGTTCAACTATTAGACCCGTCACGGCTGTGAGGTTTGTACTGTGTCTCTTGGTAGCCCGGTGGTACCCTTTACCCTTTTTTTGGTTATGGTTCCCTTATCAAACTTACTGGCTCAACACCCAACTTTTCAACTTTTGGGCTTCTTATAAGGAAGTCTATTCTGAAAGTTTCAACTTTTATTTCCTTGGGTTTTGGGCCAGTAAGAAAATAGCCAACCCCCCAAAACAGGGTGCCCTTATTATAATATAGTTACTGGGCCACCGAGGTCTTGGTACAGAACTCCCAGCCAAGCTGGGAAGACCGCTCTACCACAACAGCCCAACAGCTAGCAGCCCACATGTGTGACTCCAAAACCACCCTAAACCCTAAACCCTAAACCCTAAACCCTAAACCCTAAACCCTAAACCCTAAACCCTAAACCCTAAACCCTAAACCCTAAACCCAAAACCCCAAACCCTAAACCCTAAACCCTAAACCCCAAACCCTAGACCCTTTTCCCCGAACCCTAGACTCCTTCCTTCCAAGGTGCAGTGCAGCCACCCAAGTCCATGCCTTGGAGGGATGTCGCGCTTTTCTAAGGTGGAAGGTGGTGAGGATATCTGAAGAGCCTACGCCCCCAAGATTCATGTCAATGGGCAAGCAGACTGGGTTTAGGGTTTGGGGTTTAGGGTTTAGGGTTTAGGGTTTAGGGTTTAGGGTTTAGGGTTTACAATCCCAACAGCCCCCGAAGGCCTGAGGCCTAGCAGGTCATCTGTGGGCACGGACATGGGGAGTGCCTGGGGGCCTCTGAGTCATCTCGGGAGTAAGTCCTCTAAATTGGTATGCGGGATTTGGGTCTCGCAAGCTCTCTTAACTTAAGATGCGAGTGTCAACCTCGCACAGTTCTTCAAGGCTCTTGTTACTGCCGGTTCAATATCCTACACCCTGAACCGAATACTTTTGCCGAGATTCTCTTTAAGACCTGATCCCGGATCAAGGCCTAGACCCCCCCCTCCCCCCCGCCCTTTGCAGGGAAGTTCAAGGGTATCTTGAGCCGTTGAACTGGGGCCACTATAGTTATAGTGGTTCTTGGGAGTCCAGACTCATGGTATTTCGTAACTAATTATAAGTGTACTTATAAGTGTACTTAAAACCATTTTAGGGCACTTACGGGGCTTATAAGTACAGTTCTAATTGGCTACTAAGTACCACGACCTCGATGTGGAAGTACCCATGAGACCTTCACCAGTCGAACTCCAAAACCCCTTAATTAAGCAATATACCTTGAATCATATTAGGAACCCTAATATGATTTAAGGTATATTCCTTAATTAAGGGGTTTTGGAGTCTCTGGGCAGTTGCCGAACTCCTTGAGGCAGCGTGGGCCTTCGGGAGCCTTGGATGAGCGCACCCACTCGGAGGTGGCTCCCTGCATGGCCAGGAAATCCCCTAAAATGCACTAAACCCTAAACCCTAAACCCTAAACCCTAAACCCTAAACCCTAAACCCTAAACCCTAAACCCTAAACCCTAAACCCTAAACCCTAAACCCTAAACCCTAAACCCTAAACCCTAAACCCTAAACCCTAAACCCTGAACGCTAAACCCTAAACCCTAAATCCTTATGCCGGGATGTCCCGAGCTCTAAACTCCGGGTCACGACTCAGGATGTATGGTTTGGAGGTCCGGGTTGAGGGCACCCCTTAAACAAAATGCTCTACGAGGTGCGTGTACATGGGTAGCTAACTGTTATAGAGCGATGGTCATTCGGAGGATAGGGACATGAATTGAAGTTTAGGGTTAAAAGGGTGTGCAAGATCAAGCCGAGGATCAAGTTCATATGGGATCTGCTTGATGGCTCAGGGGTAGTTATAGGTAGGGTTGTAGTGCAAGTTCCCAAACACAGCTACCTCGTCTTCCCAAGCCAAGCTGCTTGCCAGGTCGAGTTCCCGGTGCTCGTCGAGTTTCCGCCGAAGACGCCGAAGATTGTATCCGTGCAGGCAGGCAGGGTCTTCTGAATGCCTGAACCTTGCATAACCCCTAAACCCCGGCGTGCTTGCATGCCTGGGAGTCTTAAGAGTGTAAACATTTTGCAAGCCTAAATGGTCTCTGCAGCACCCTTGTACATACAATCCTTAGACGTGAAATCGAGGGCATGTTGGTCATGTTCCCGAAGCCCTAAACTACCCCTAAGCCTAATCGCGAACCCTAAACCTAAACCGTAAACCGCAAAGTCTGAAAGAGTGACATGTGAATCGGCCCTGGGGCCCTCCCCCGCCACCCCCACCACACCCCGTCGTGTGCCAACATGTGGTAACCTGGTAAACGTGTGTGTGTGTGTGCCAGCTGATGATGCATACCACTTTTCAGAACGTCTATATGTATATATATATATATGTATGTATGTATGTAGGTATGTATTTGTATGTGTATGGAATTGCCACTGTTGCATCGTACAGGTTGAAGACGTCGGGAAGTAGAGGGTTCGGGGTTACAAGCGTCACATGTGCCCAACTGAGCCCCACAAATTTCACGTGGGCCTGGGTTAAGCTGAGCCGTATCTTCGTGGTCCCTCCGACCCATCTCAGTCTCAGCAAGCAAGGCTCGACTGAATACGTGGGGGAGTGGGTATTGTTGTTTCTCGAGGGACCTTCAGGAATATGAAGAGTCGGACGATTATTCTCTTTTGCCTTCTGAGCCACATTAAGCAACAAGAAGGGTACCTTGTTTTATTATGATTAGGCCTAAACCCCAAACCCTAAACCACCCTAGCTCGAGGTTGGCGGCCGCCACACCGTCGCTCAAGATGCCAAAGGAGCCGACTGGGGTGTTTACACCCCAACATTCGGGGTTTGGGGGTTACTAAGCCTGCAAGGCTCTGAAGCCCCAAAGGCCCGCCCTAAACGGCCCGAAAGCTTGATGCCTAAGGCCCATCAGGCCGTCGCCTCCGCGCCCAGGTGGGGGGTCTAGAGGGTTTAGCCAGCTAGTCTAGCAAGTGCCCTGAGCGAAGGCCCGAATTTCAGACGAAATTGGGCACGCCCTTACGAAGCTCCAAACTGCAAAGCAGGAAACTGCCATGCCTTCGGCGATGACCGGCGTATCCAGCTCGGTCTTGGTGACACGCGCTCCGTGACCCTTCTGAACTTCTGCAATGTGGGGGCTACGGCTTTGCTCTAACGTGGGGGCCATTCCGATGCTGTTCCTGAGTGCCTGCAAGGGTTTGTTCTGCCTGGGATGGTCGATCCTGCGCGTGGCCTTCTGTGGTCGAGACACCTAGACTGTGACATGTCGGGTTTTAGGGTTTAGGGTTTGGGGTTTAGGGTTTAGGGTTCGCTACGAAGTCGATGTAGCCAGACAATTGCTATGATGCCAAGTTGAGTTTTTTTGAGTACTGGGCTTCTCATTCTAGCACTTGTGCTCCAAACCCTACCTTTTGACGGATCAGCACTCTCAGTGTTTTGGCATGTGCCTTCCAGGGTGGAAATGATGAGCGACACGCCTACGGCGTTCTGCACCAGGACAGCAGATACATCGACTGTTGTGTTGCTCGAATCGTGCCCGCTGCATGACCCTGTATATTGAAACTCAAGACGTTGGTGTCGGCTTAAGCTGATCACGAGATGAAGTACCGCAGTCGTACATCTGCCTGTGCAACTCACATCCTTCACTCGCACGCATGGTCAAAGTAACTTCGAAGGCAGAAACCCGAAGGAGGCACTTCAAGAGCCCCCTTTCCTTCGCCCGCGATGCAGTGCTCACCACGCCTGAGAAGGCGATCTGCGGCCAGTCTCGTGGCGTGCCTGGCGTTGCTGTGCGCAACCGCGTTTCAGGGCACAAGCTTCGTGCCGGTGGGACTCTCCAGCTTGCCGCGGGCTTCGGCCCACACGCAGGCGGCAGATGACGCAGTCCCCACCCTGCCTGTGCCTTTCTGGTTCCCTTTTTCAGACATGCTGAACAGCTGGCTGCTGGATCTCTGGGCTTCCACGCCATCTGCCCATTATTCAATGTCGCTCAGCGAGTACGAGGCCATGAATGACGAGCTTGCGAACATGCGAACTCGTCTGCAAGCAGCCAGGGACCGTGAACGCAGAGCCCGAGCCGCCATGGCGGAACTTGAGCTGGAAATGCAGGGGTTTAGGGTTTAGGGTTTAGGGTTTAGGGTTTAGGGTTTAGGGTTTAGGGTTTAGGGTTTAGGGAGGCGCGGCTGGACCTAGAAGATCAGATGGAATCGGTGGCTCGCCGTGCGGGAGTCGAAGAAGAAGGCCTTGGCCCACCACTCGCTTGAGGCCTACTTGGAGGTTCATGGTACTTATGAACCAATTATAACTTAAGTGCCCTAATATGGTTATAAGTATATTCCCTAATATGGTTATAAGTATATTTATAAGTACAGTTATATTTGGTTACTAAGTACCATGAACCTCCAAGTAGCTGGATACTGCTTGGCGCGTGTCAAAGAGCGCCGCTGCCACATCGGAGGATCGACGTATCTTGGGTGACCGGCTGCCGAAAGTCGGTTGTAGCATGCCCGCACGCCCGTGACACATGGGGCTGCTGATGCAATCGCTGTGCAGGTTTATCCGGGGCTTGGAGATTCATTCCCAAGGTTCGCATTCCGATTTGAGTGCGGGCTTTGGGCGTTGCCGGTGATCCTGCTTAGAGACCTTTTGGGAGACCCCGAGCTCTAGGTCCCACACTCTCATGCAGGAGCCTAAGTGGCTGAGTTATCACCCCTTGTTATCATATTCAAAATGCTCAAAATATCCAAAATTGTTCCACGAAGAAATTCGGCCCTGCACCCTTAAACCCTAAACCCTAAAACCCAAACCAAACCCCAAAACCCCAAACCCCTCCACCCGAAGCCCATCTCACCCCCTAAAGCCGGTGGCGCTCGGGACAGGATGCCCTGGGTGGGAAGAAGGTGAAGGGCGACATCCCGAGAGCCGTCACCTACCGCGCCCCGGCCTGGTTTAGGGTTTAGGGTTTAGGGTTTGGGGTTGAGGGTTGAGGGTTGAGGGTTGAGGGTTGAGGGTTGAGGGTTGAGGGTTGAGGGTTGAGGGTTGAGGGTTGAGGGTTGAGGGTTGAGGGTTGAGGGTTGAGGGTTGAGGGGTTTCACTTTACACTGCCTACAGTTCAGGGGGCCGATTTTCCGCCCTCGACGTTACTCCTTCAGGGCCAACAGAGGCGCACGTTGTGAAACCTTGGTATTAACAACTCCCTGCAACTTCGCCCTGAGCCTCCAGAACCCTACACTCTCAAGCCCGCCAAGCGCCTATAGAGACCCTCAACCCCCCACCCCCCTTGAACTTCCTGTGAGGCTACTACGATCCCCACCTTCAGAGCAAACCGGTGAAGCAGGCCCGAGAGGGAGGTTTTAGGGTTGCAGGGTTGCGCCTTGATGGACCAGGCTTCAGGCGTTCCAGCCTTAAGGGTTTTCAGGAGCGTTCAGGCAGCTAAGGGGCTTTAAGTCAGGATTAGGTGATTTTTATGGTTGGGGTGGGGTTTAAGGGGTTCTTGCCAGGTTATTGCGCCGTCCATTATGTATCAACCTGTATCTTCAAGCTTCAAACACCCCTAATCCCTGGAATTCAAGAGCCTCGGTGAAGTCTATAAGGGCCATGACCATCATGGCTACGACCTAGGGCCTAGGGTGTATTGTTATTAGTACTCTATTATTATTATTCTTATGTTTATTCTTATTTGTTATTATTATTATTATTTATTTGTTTTGGGGGGGAGGGGGGGTGGGTGAGGGGGGCATTTGGGTTTTAGAGTTCCAGTTTTAGGGACTGCCCCTTAAAAGCAGCCGCTGGTCAAATGTGGCTTGTGAATGGGTAGATATCCCTCCGTAGCTGGGATTGCAATTAATGAGGGAAGCTATAATGAGAACTGGGTATGAGATCAATAAAGGTACTTGAAAGCCTGGGGTTGTATAGGTATCCATGAACCTTTAATTGCTACAATAAATGGCTCGCTCACCGATGTCAGCCAATCCCTACGCCTCGCGCTCCGCATCATCATGGCTTCCATCTGAAACAACTTGATAGCATATGTGCATGCGTATACGAGACTGTGTGTGTGTGTGTGTGTGTGTGTGGATATATACATATATATATATGTATATATATATATATATATATATATATGTATCTACATGCACACATACCAGTTTTTTATCGTCTAGTACAATCAATGTAGTATACAACGTTTTTGTAAATTATACACAGAATATACATATATATATATATATGAATGATGAGAATATGTGAAATTCAATATATATATATATATATATGTATATGTATATATATATATATATATTATGTCAGTGACAATTGTGAACATATCATTTTCGAAGACATGAATCCATGAATATGAATGAATGTGTATGTATGTACGTACGCATGTAGGCATGTATTGAAGCCTCAGCCTTCGGGGACAGGTGCCGCCTTTGGCAGTGAACCGCCCTGAGTACCCACCGGCATCGGCGATCACTTGCGGGGAGGCCACTCCGCGCGCCCTGAACGTTAAGATATTTGGGGTTTAGGGTTTCGGGTTAAGTCTGGAGCCTCAAAGGATAAAGTTAGACCCAACTGAAAACTGAATGGCGATGCTGGCGATATGCACCTCCACGACGTACCCTGATGAAGTCGACTGAAGGGGCGGGCAGTTCGGCGGGTTGCAGCATCTCAGTGTGTCGGATGCACCCCTAGTTCATGTTGGGCTCCCAATTACGGTTTGATGTGTTTTCCGTGATGAAGGATGAGTACTATCGACCTTGTTCAAGACCCAAAATCCCAATCTTTTCCCTGGCCATCCCTACACCCCAAATCCTAAGCTTTACGCTGGCAACTTGACAGAAGACTTTGCGTTGCTTTGTACTTACTGTTGATTCGCAGGGAATGAGGGAATTAGGGCCCTACATATACCCTGTACGGGATAATACAGGGTGCCTCATTCCCCCATTCCCTACTAACCACCAGTAAGTTACACTAAACTCTAAACCCTAAAACCTAAACGCTAGACCCTAAACCCTAAAACCTAACCCTAAGCCCTACACCCTACACCCTAAACCCTAAACCCTAAACCCTAAACCCTAAACCCTAAACCCTAAACCCTAAACCCTAAGCCCTAAACCCTAAACCCTAAACCCTAAACCCGAAACCCTGAACCCTAAACGTCAAAAACATGCGAGCTCGGCAGTTCAAATTGCCGAGACCTGGCCTCCGAAGCTTCCACACCAGCGTTTTGCTTTGTAGGGGTTTAGGGGTTTAGGGGTTTAGGGTTTGGGGTTGAGGGTTTAGGGTTTAGGGGTTTAGGGTTTAGGGGTTTAGGGTTTAGGGGTTTAGGGTTTAGGGGTTTAGGGTTTAGGGTTTAGGATTTAGGGTTTAGGGGTTGGTGGTTCGGGGCTTGGGAGGTAGGGTTTGGAAGGACTTCACCGTGGGTGTCTTCCGAGACAGCCCGGACTGGTATGCGGAGCCCCTCGGCCGCCCAAGGAAGGCTACTAAACCCTAAACCCTAAACCCTAAACCCTAAACCCTAAACCCTAAACCCTAAACCCTAAACCCTAAACCCTAAACCCTAAACCCTAAACCCTAGACCCTAGACCCTAGACCCTAGACCCTAGACCCTAGACCCTAAGCCCTAAGCCCTAAACCCTAGACCCTAGACCCTAGACCCTAGACCCTAGACCCTAAACCCTAAACCCTAAATTTTAGGCCTAGCGGCACGGGCCGGCCCCCGCCCCGCAAAACAGGAAACCTCGAAGTGGGCATCGTTTTGTTTTTGTTTTTCTGCTCCGTCTTTATTCCGCTGCCCTGTCTGTCACCCCCCCCCTCTCTCCTCTCTCACCATCTCTCTCCTTCTGTCTATGTCTCCTTTTCTTTTTGTCCGTTTCCATTTCAATTCAATGTATTGCTCCCTTTCTCGTTTTTCGCTTTCTTTCTTGCTCCCACTCTTTCTCCCTTTCTCCCTTTGCCTCTTTCTCCCTGTGTCCCTCTTTCCCTCTCTCTCTCTCTCTGTCTCGCTCGCTCTCGCTCTCTCCCTCTCGCTCTCACTCTCACTCTCACTCTCTCTCTCTCTCTCTCTCCCTCTCCCTCCCTCTCGCTCTTCCCCTTCCCCCCCCCCCCCCCCCCCCCCCCCCCCCCCCCCCCCCCCCCCCCGCCCGCGCGCGCGCGCGCACCCGCATCAGGAGCATCATTGGGGTTGGTTTGGGAGCCCAAAAGACATTCTAAGCATGAGTTTTGCCTTCGAAAAACCTTCAGAAAACGCTGTAAACACGTGTTTTTGAGCTTGGGAAGCCTTTTGGAACCGAGGAAGAGAGAGCATCATGAGCATCAGCGGCCTCCCCCAGGCCATCCGAAACCTCCTGGAACGCTTGCGTGCCCACCAAACCCCCAAAAGCAAGACCCCGAATGCCCTTAAGCGCACTCGGGGTCCTGCTGTTCGGGTGTTTTGTAGGCACGAAGCCGTTCGAGCGCGTAAAATGAGCGATTTTAGGGGCGTTTTTACGTGGACCCACAAAACACTCGGTATTTACGAGGTTTTCTGCTGTTCGAACCCCCCCCAAACCGAGCATCATGAGCATCAGCTGGGTCTCTGGGCCGTCGGCCCGGACCCCCCCACGAAGCCCATGAGAAGCGATGGCTCGATGATGCGCCGGACCCCCGCGCATCAGCAGCATCAGCAGACCCCCCCCCGGACGTGGGTTTCGATGATGCGCACTTTGGGGGCGGGTCAAGGGCAACAGGGGTGGGGGTCGGAGGCACGCGTGAAAACCCTCATAAAAGCACGGTATTTACGGTGATTTCAGCGTTTTTCAGCGTTTTTTATTGCCTTGGGGCCGCGGGCCAGGGCTGCTGATGCTCATGATGCTCGCCTGGTTTTGGGCTTCCGGTACCCCCCCCAAACCTTGAAAACCGTGGTTTCGGCCTGGCGCGTGCCCCATGTGAAAAGCTAGGGCCGATGATGCGCGCCCGTGAGGGTTTAATGGGGTGCTGCGGGTGTTTTGTGGCCTCGGTTTTTCGTAAAAACCCATGGTTTTTACGAGGTTTTCGTGCTTTTCGCACCACCGCGTGTTGCGTCCCCTTGGATGCCGTTTTGGAGGCCTCCCGAAGGGCACCGCGCGAATTTGAAGCAATTTTGGGCGGGGTCGGCGGCTTGGGCGCTCGCCCCTTAAAGCTAGCGCTTTAGTGCGACGCGGGCTCCCCCTGGACCACGAGCGGCGCCGGGGCCGGATTTAAGAGCCTCCGGCTCCCCGCTGGAGCATAGTTGAAAGGTTTAAACGCGCTCGTCAGCTCTTTGATTTGCTTGAGCCTCTGTGAAACGTTGGGGGGGGGGGAGCAGCTTGAAGTCAATTCAACAGGGGGGGGGGGGGGGGGGGGG